ATCTATAGACATTGAAACATCCTCCAAAAATTACAGTCATCAACAAAAAAACCTCATTTTCTATGGTTCACAGGCAATCAGTGAATTAATTCTATGGAATCTAATAGGAGAGAATTCCCACTAAGTTTTCTTGAATCTAAAAAAAACTTACATTCCAACTTCTCCTGTAGAAAATCCATGCCTTCATTTCTAACTACCTATTTTCATGAACTTTTGAGAGATCTTTGACACATCTACGAACTTTTAATTGCTGTTGACCATCAGGTGCAAGACATATTAGAAGAAATGTGACACAAAGATGAGCAACTGTCATTTCACAGGAAACAATATTAGTATTTCAGGAAAATGAAAATCATCAAAGAGAAAGAACAAAGAATATATGGAACAGGTCTGAGAGCATGAGGGAGGGAGCTGTAGGTAACAATTTACACAAGATACAACAAAATAGTGGAACTGATTTTGAAATGTTAACAATTTTCATCCTGGGCTCAACACTGCAGAGCTCTGATCCCTGCATAGACCAATAGGGTTCTTGCACAAAAAATACAGAAATTAAAAAATAAACAAACACAAACTTACCAACATCTTACATCCAAACTTACCATACCTGCTTGTGTTATACTCTGTAACAGCATTGCTTTTAAACACTTTGTTCAACCTATCCGGACTTTTCCTGGTTTTCTGTGGCTGTATTTCATGTTAGGACAATTTCCAACAGACACACTTCAGAAAAGCTAATTAGATCAGACCTCAAATGATAGAAAAAGAACAATGTCTGCTTCAAAGATCTTAACAGATTTAGGCTGCTCACTTGTCATGAAAGCTGCAGCTCCAGGCCCATATCTGGATCTTTGAAGTAACTGACAACTTCACTGGTAAAAATGCAAGGGTGTCAAATATTTGAGCATTTTTTTGTTTGTATGCCAACTGACAAACTTCAGAAAGCTTTTAGTTCACACAACCAGGATCTTAGAAAATCTAGTTCTTCAAAATCAACTTCATCAAGCAAAACACCTCGATATGCATTAAACTTAAAAATGTGTTTGCAGTTCTCTCACTTCTGCAAGAATTATTGAAAGCTAGAAACGTGATAAATACTTGCTTAGTGGGGAAAAAAAAATCTTTAAGAGAACTATTTTAGAAAAAACAACCCCCTTGGTCCAGACCAAGCTTGTTAAACAACTGCAGCGGCTTTTACCTGGTGTGAGTACAACCACATTGGGAAGGGGCAGAGGGGAGAATCATCAAAGTGAGAATATTAAGACCCTCATTCAAGTTTGTTTGGAAATCGTATTTTTGAAGCCACAAAACAAAAACAATGACTTGGCTAGATAACCAGATTTCTGAATCGTGACATTTTTATAGCCATAATTCCATTCACAAGATGTATTAATCACACCCGATTCTGCTAACAAAGGCTATTAAAGGAGAGGAAAAAGCTCAGCAGTTACCATAACAAAGACACTTCCTTCACTGGTTTTTCCATTCAAGTCACACAGAATACAATGAAGTTATTTTTTTCCTTTGTGTACATGCAGCCTTCAACTCACACACTACTCTCTCTCTCAGACTTAGTGCATATACACAGCTTCTGCTTCATACTGCATTGAACAAGCCTGTTGCAAGAAGGAAGTTCTAACTCAAAATTAAGAAAAAGAACCAGAAACCTGAGAAAATAAGCTAAAAATTCATTTGATAGAGAAGAATAAATTGATTTTTGCAACCTGCCATTTCCAGTTGGCATGAGAGACTATCAAATTGCTCTAAAATTTACCTATTTTCCTCAGTTATTAAACCAAGCAAATACTAGAACACTTCTGCTGGAATAATGAGATTCTGTTATTCTTATCCAGAAGGGCCTCATAGTGCCTTAAAAAAATTTCAGAAAAACCAGAACCCCCTCCCCACACAACAGTATTTTCTACAAAAAGGCTGACAACCATAAGGCAGTTAATTCTGTCAGCTGCTTAACAGCTCAGCACTCACTACAGTCTTGCCATGTACACACCCACACACTAAACACCAAGGGGATCAAACAGAAAAAAAACTGTGGGCAAAATGAGTCAATCAGAATCAAAGTCAATTCAAACCAGAAGCTGAGCAGACCCCTTCGTTTTCTTTGAAGTGATATTTAATTCAGAAAAAGATCATGCTGAATTTAGCTATTACACTGATGTCTGCAGGGTACCGGTACAGATCAGCAATTGCATGTGACATGAACTGAAGGAAAACCAAACAGGAGACAACTTGCACTCCTCAGTGCAGAAAAAAAAAAAGAAAATCCACAATTATTCTTGCAAACAGCAACATCTATGGGACTAACAATCAAAAATCCTCCCAAAGAAACTAAATCCACACCTACTCACACAATATACTTATTTTAATCCCTTTCTTCACTGGCCAAAATAGCTGAGGCTGTTTTAGAGAGTCAAGAGAGATCTGTCTGGATAATCTATAGAGATTTCTGTATGCACATCTGTTTAAGAAAGCAGCTATGACTCAAAGCTGTACCTTAAGAGGAAGCTGACTATTACATTCCTCATCGCCCACAACTCTAGGAAGCTGAAGACATTTTACAAAGACTATTTTACCTGAGCTACATGAAAATCTATTTTGAAAAAAAAAAAATTAAAATCCATGCAAGCCTGTATACATTTTCCCTCAAAGGCCAATCTTCTAGCTGTCTATCTTAAAGAAATTTGTAATTGTGTGGTGTCAGCAAGAAAGGAGTTTCATACCATAGAAATGCAGTTTTCTAACTGAAAGGAAAAAAACCCACGATTATTTTGGCCTTTTTTCCTGATAATGAAAAAACAAAATTCCTGTTTCTGCCAAATCAAAGCTTGGGCAGTACTCAAATTCTCTTGTAATAAACCAACACAGATTCACTTGATGTTTCTATATAAAGAACACTGTTGAAAAGGCCTTTTTCTGCACCACATCCATCACTCTGCTTCAGTGTGTGCCTGTTACCCCAAAGGCCGAGTGCATCCAGGGCTGCATCAAAAGCAGGGTGGGCAGCAGGTGAGGGAGATGATTCTGCTCTGGTAGGATGTCACCTGCAGTGCTGCATCCAGCTCTGGGGGGCCCAGCACAGGAAAGCCATGGACCTGTTAGAGCAGGTTTGATGGAGAGTCACAAACACAATCCCAGGGCAGGAGCATCTCTCCTATGAAAGCAGCCTGAGATGGTTGGGCTTTTTCATCCTGAAGAAAAGAAAGCTCCAGGGAGACCTCACTGAGCCTTTCACTACTTACAGGAGGTTTACAGGAAAAAAGGAGAGAAATTTTCACACAGGTAGACAATGACAGGACAAGGGGCAAGGGTTATAAAGAAAAGAGAAGAGATTCACATTAGATATTAGGAATTAATTCTTTACTCAGAGGTTAGTACTCAAGCTGCTCAGTGAAGATGTATTTGCCCCATCTCTGGAAGCGTTCAAGGCTAGGCTGGATGGAGCTCTAGGCACCATGATTTAGTAGTGAGTGGCATCCCTGCTCATGGCACAGGGGTTTGGAACTAGATGACCTTTAAGGTTCCTACCAACCTTCCAACCCAAACCATTCTATGATTCTACTAGTAAAGAAATTAGTATTAACTACACAGATGTGGAACAGACAAGGATTCCTCCCATCAAATTTCTAACTGTAGTTAGTACTAGATACTATTGTGAAGATGAAGGGGGTTTTTTACTGGAGACATATCTACCACACACAAACAAGTTTCTCTCTATTTAAGTTTCCAAATCCCTCGTGAGTCAGGAGCAATTCCTACCTGTAACAGAAAACACACTTTAGTGACAGAGCCACAACAAACAACTTACTTGGTGCACTACAGAGGCTGCAACACAGACGTGCAGATTGCATTCATCCTATCCAACCTGAATAGAACCTTTGACTTCTGCTGACCTTAGCACTTCAGATGTATTTTCACAGTGAAGAAGGTATTTCAGAGTTTACTTTACTTTTGTTCCAAACCTGCAGCAGAGTCCTAGAGGCCAGAGGCATCTTGTTACCTCCTTTAATCAACTGATGTGGCTGCAGGAAGTGAGAGAATACCTCTTCTTACAAATGGTCTCACTTAGGTACCTAGTGGGATTTTCAAAATATTTGAGAAAATTATCCTGTGTACTTCAAGTAATTCAGGAAAAAAAGAAAAAATCATATAAACCAACCCACCCCAACAAGGTCAGAGTGAAGAGGGTTAAAAGCAAATTGAGTTGAAATTAAATAAGGAAGTCCCAATAACTTCAGTATGATTCCATCCCTCCTCCCCTTCCACTCACACTCACACACTCACACACACTCACCCCTCAGTAAAGCAATTTAAGTAGGAACCAGGCCTTTCTTCCTACCACATCAGTAAGGCAATGGTGCTATTCGTTCCATCAAAGCTCCCAAATGCTCTGCTCATAGACTGTACTGACCAAACAATTAGATCACTCATGAATTAAAAAATACCCAGAAGCAACTTTGCCTGTGCACTAGCTTTTTCAAAGCACAATGGAAAGTTGGCACACACTGCATTTACAAGAGCTGTAATCTAGTTTAAACATGGGTTTATTTTAAAAATCTTCAGCTCTCATCTGTAGGCCACTCCAGAACCCAGTGAATTAGCAAGTAGTTACTATTTATTGGAAAGCTTCCTTCTTTAGGACACCTTGACCACCAGTCAGTAGTTTGCTGAAATTGTAAAAAGAACTGCACCATCAATCTTCACTACAGGCAACTATCCACAGGTGTACAGGATCTAGAATGTGAAGTATTCAGGAGAACATTTGAATTTTGATATATAGACCTCCAATGAAACAAATATTCTGCAGATTACAAAAAATTTAAGTAAATAGCAGCCGTAAAACAGAGAGCTTCCTACAGGTATTGACAATATATACTTTGCATCATGTCATGAGCTTAGGTGTGCTTTTTTCCCTTTGTCTTCTTTCAGATACTCATGGATTTTAAAGCATCTCAACCAGGTTTTTAAAGGAAATCAGACAGTACACAGGTTAAACAACATGGTTCTATTAAAAACTATCTTTAACCATGGCACTCAGTGACAGCAATACAATACTTTTCTCCACAAAGCAACTAATATAAAAATATGCCATAAAATCATCTGTAGACTAGTATGCTAGTACATACATATAATCATAACATTCTTTTATAAACTCTTTCCTGAGATACCTTGAGTTGTTTGATTTTCTTGTATTACTGGATGCATTATTTTTATGATTCATCTGAAACAATTGCAAAATATTTTGAATGTGCAGGACACTCAGTAACATGTAAAAAGTAGTATGTAAATATATGGCAAAGAAACATCTCTTAGAAATTATGCGCTTTTTTACTTTGTTATATTTTTTAACATTTGGCTCCTTGGGAGACAGAAGGATGGTGCATGAAAAACCTGAAAATAGAGCTATGAACTGACAAAAAGCAGGAAAGCATTCAGGAATGTTAAGAGTTGGAATATATTATAAATGACACAAAGAGAAAGCTGTAAGTCATGTTGGCTATGTATTGTCTTACAAAGCAACTGGACATATCTTAGTTCACAGTATAATAAATATTTTTACTAATCTGTTTTGGAAGAGCAAATGTCTTTTAGGGTTTCAAGCTCCTGTATAAGTTTCTTGTTCTGAACTTCTAGCACTGCAACACGACTCTCCAGACATTTAATGTATTCTTTCTTCCGACGGCGACATTCTTTAGCAGCTTCCCTGCAAAAAGCAGAAGTAAAAAGTGCAAACAAAAAAGCCATTTGCATGCCATTAGAAAGCTCAGCAGAGTATGGAGACTATGACAGAATTCCAAATTTTGGAATATCGCCCAAATCAGTCTGAAAATACTAAGCAAAACTGGGTTCCACAAGGGCCTCAAGTGTCTCTTTCTCAAGTTCATATGGCAATCTGTAGAATTGCTTCCTCTCATGCCTTGATTAAAGTTCATAATAAAGGAGGTCCAAATGAAAGACAGTTATTCTGCTTTATGACAATAAAGATCTTTGAGGGCCTTGAGTTCCTCAATGAGAGTCTTGTTTTGGTTTTCAAGCACAGCCACACGATTTTCAAGACATTTGACATATTCTTTCTTCTTTCTGCGACATTCTCTGGCAGCTTCCCTGGAACCAATACAAGGCAAATGACTACAGGAACAGCCACAATATGGCAAAGACTGGATAAATGCAATTACCTGCATTCCCTGTGGTTCCACAATAACAACAACCACCACCAACCACTGCTGGATTGCACAAACAAAACATTGGATAGCAGCCAAAAGCAGTAACATAGACAAAATATAATCCAAACCATCTAGAACTTGAAACGCATCCAGCATCACCAAATACAAAGATGGAACCGATACACAGAAGAACTGAGAAAAACAGGGAGTAAAAGATAATGTATTGACTTGAATTGTACTGAACATTAGGATGGAAAGCAGCATTTCTTCTTCCAGTCACATTCTACTTTGTGTGTTTATCAGGAGCATTGTCTTCTGCCATCAAAATCTTAAAACCAAACCCAGAGAATATACTTTCAGAAATCACAAACATAACACTACTCTCTTCAGATAAAAAACTAGATGCCAAGCTTACATGAAGATAAAAACTTACAGCATGTTGTAACAATGTACAGTACAATTAAAGTCCAAACAAATACAATTTATTAGCATTTCAGGACCAGCTGCCTCTGCACATTTCAAGCATATGAGTCTGTGGTTTTTGCTGCTGGCAAATGATAGCCTGAAGCCATTCCTGAAGGTCTGCTCAAAAGTCTCTTCCATTGGAACTAAATATAGAAGTGTTCAGAAGCATGTGACTAAACAAGCATTCAATTCCAGAAGAAACTTTAGAAGTACTGGGAATCCTCCTTTACCACCTTGGAATATGATAAACTATCAAATTTTGAGAGGCTAACATTCCAGCAAGTTAGGAGCTATAGCATAGGCACTAGTTTTAAAACTGAAGAGAGAAGAAACAAAAAGTAGGCACAACAATGCAGTGATCCTCACAAGTAATTTAAAATAAAGGACAGGCATGAGAGCAAAGCAATACCATTAATTCAATCATAAGACAAGTGGTTAAGCAGTGTATTAGAGATCTGCAGAGCAGACTATTTCTACTATTAATCTGCCAATGATAGAGGTGGCTACACATTTAAAAAAGACAGACTCCTCTAAGAATAACAAGAAGAATGCACAGAGAAAGACTGACATTTACAACATTCAGTCAAGTCCATGACAACTCATTAAAAAATACACAGCAACTTCACACAATATGCCTCACAAAATGACAGGGGCACTGCAAAGTATCTCATCCCAGCAGCCAAGTATTTAGGAAAGTCTGTAATTATCATTCCATCTTTGAATAAGTCCTCTTCACAGCATCATTAATGGACAGCTGCTAATGAGATTCTCAGCTATTTTCCTAACCAATTCTTTGCTGGGATGTTTTTAAATGAAAAATCTCCTACTGGTCATTTTATTGTCAGCAGTGGGAAAGGATGGGAAGTAAAATTCAATTAAAAGTATAACTCTACATCATCACAAAAATTATCTGATATTGATTTCTGAATCATCTAATATTTTCAAGTTAAAAATCCATGGGTAAAAGGGCAACTCTAATCTTCCAGAGTTAACAAGCAATACTCTATGCTAGAAGGACATGGGATGACTGACAAAGAATTTCCTGCCTTCCCTTCATCAATTACAGGCAGTGCTCATGACCTTAAAAAGAAAATGTCACTATAATGTCCACGGGGGAGGGGGGTGGTTTGCAACACTGACTACAAATTATGATATAGTCTTACCTGTTTTTCAAAAGTCTCAGCTCTCTCTTGCGTGTTGCCTCTTCTGCCATTTGCTGAGGGCTATGCAAAGTCCCTGGCGAGGCTGCCATAACCACTCCCTGAGGTAAGGTAGTAGTGGGAGTTCGAATCTGGTAAGCTGGCATGTCTCCAGTGGCAGCTGTATAAGAAACATATTTTACAATGTATGGCAAATAAAGAAGTATATGTGAAAATAACAGATTTCTGACAATGATTTATTCAGGATTCCAGATATGTAAATTATTTCACAGGTCTGTAATGACACAACTTCCACACTATAAAGTATCTGAATTCCTCTAGCATGTGGCCCCACTAGCCAGCCAGACTGAAAGCTTTTACATGGCTCTCGTCAGACAACATGGAGAAAGCAGTTTGAGAAACAGTTTACTTCCTGTTTGCACAATTCCACAAAAATAGCGTCCTGCTGTGGCAGCCACTGAGGCTTATATGCTACCCTGTTCTCCCTGTACAGGACCCAATTTGCTTCAGAAGACAACTTTCTTCTCCTTCCTTGTGACAGCAACACTACCAGGTTTACAGCCTCTCCTCTTCTTACAAAAGCAATATGGCAACCCTTGGGTAATGAGTGAGAGCTGCTGTTGCTACAATGAAAAGGAACAGACAAGTGCTCACGATGTACAGGCATTTGCTCCCTGGGCAAGAGGACCAGACATGGGATGCTGCAGCATTAGCAAGCAACAGGAGGCAGCAGAGGTTACACAGGAAGGGGTGGAGCTGCACAGTAAATCAGAGGGCAAAAGTTCAGATTCAGCTCCTGAGTTTAGCAGTTTTGTGCTCTCCCCAAGATAAATGCTGATCTGATGTGACTTGAAGCCAATACCTCTCTGACAGTCTCATGTCATTTCTTTGTTTCAGACATACTTGTCCCTACATGATGTACCTCAACCTAAAAACACTGGGGAAGTACTAAGTACTTGTATCTTGTCTGACAGAAAACAAAAGCAAACAAAAAATATATCCCTCTTTACATTTTAAACAAGTATTTATCTACTCTTTTCCATAAGTGTTTTATATTACGATAAAACAAAATTTCAAATTTTGTCATTAAAGCAATTGTATAAAGCTGATGTTTCAGAGGCTATTGTTACACTTGGTTTACACTTTAATTCTTTAAAGCATCATTCAAATAATGGAAAAACCTGTCTCACAGTTTAACCCCAGCCTGCAACTAAGCACCAACCACAGAGTCACTTGTTCACTCCACCCACACAGCTCCCCAGCTGAACAGGGTAAGAAAACGCATAAGTTGAGATGGGAACAGTTTGATGGAAATAAAATAATAAATGTAATGAAAGGGAAAACAACAAAAAGAAAGAGAAATAAGACCAAGAAAAATAACTGATGCAAATTAAAAACAATTGTTCACCACTCACCAACTGATGCCCAGCCTGTTGCTGAGCAGCAGGCCCCAGGCCAGCTTTCCCTACAGTTTATATGCTGAGCACAATGCCTTATGGTATGGAATATCCCTTTGGCCATCTGGGGTCAGCTGTTCTGGCTGTGATCCTTCACAGCTTTGGGAGCACTCCCAGCGTACTCACTGGCAGAGCATGAGAAGCTGCAAAGTCCTTGACTTAGTGCAAGTACTGCTGAGCAACAACCAAACAACGAATGTGCTACCAACATCTCTCTCATCCTAAAACCAAAACACAGCACTGTAGCAGCTGATAGGAAAAAATATTAACTCTATCCCAGCTGCCACTAGGACAACTTGGAAAAATAAAATGTAGACAAAAACATCTTGGGAAGGCTGACAGGTTGAGCAGTTAAGAAACATCTGTTAACTATAGGGAGTAAAAAATTAAACTATAGGGGGGAAAAAATAAAAAATGAAAATATAGCATTATTCTTACTATATTAATGCAAGTGCTCACTAATTCAAAACAAAAAAATTAGAATCAAGTTGTGTTTAGACTCCATTCCACAGCTATGTCCTGAAATTATTATCAGCTTAAACCCTGTGCACCTCCCCCCCGCCCCCCGCCAGGTCGTGCGGGTAAAAGTGTTTGTGGAATTACAAGATGAACTGGACCAGTGAACTGACCTGGATAATCCCCCGGGGATGTGAGAGAGAGGGAGGGAGAAATCAGCCCGGAACAGCCCTGTGAGCACTGACAGGCAGCTGCCATGAACACAGAGCTTGCTCATCTTGTACATCTACACAGGAATTAACCCTTTAAGTCCTCCACATTTCTAGCAGTCCCAGTCACGTCAACGGACTGATAGCTCACTAATTATAAAAATGTAATTTTAGCAACTCTTCAGGCTCACATTTATGCCGGCCGTATTACATCACATGCATCTTACAGACTCTCTGGTAAGAACTACCTTTTTCTATCTCACCACTAGGTATTAAAAGAGATGTTTCCCTTAGCTACCATGAATTAGAAATTCAAGTAAGATTTTGTAGATCAAGTCATGGAGAACACTCTACAACTCAGATAACCTCAGCCTGGCAAGACCAACTACTTTGTTTTCTGTGTCTGATTTATACTCAGATGGCAGCAAACAGGACTTACTGCAGCTTTTGTGCAGAGGACTCAGTGTGATCATGTACCTCCAGCAAGACTTAACAAAAGCAAGTCCCTATCTCAGCTGTGATCAGCAAACACCACTGGTAAGTATTCTAGTCTGAGCAGGTCCCTGTAGTGGCAGGCTCTGCCTGACAGTTGTCTCACTTATAAACCTGTCAGCACAGGAACACAGATAAATAACTATTCTGGTGGTACAAATCCAGACACCATTGCTTAGAAACAAGAAAGAGGCATAGGATAACACTGACAAAGTACCTTTTAGCTGTGCAGAAGTTTTATGATAGATCATTGCAAAAGATATTTCAAAGACTGAAAAATGTTTTGTATATTATCTCAAGACACTACAATGTAACTGATTTCCCCAGAAAAAGATGTTTGGAAAGATGAAACAGGCTTTAAACAGAGTGGGATATGCTTAATGTTTTTCAAAGTTATTCGAAGCCTAGTTATGTATCTATATTACAAAGAAGCACACCTTCCATTTCAGAATCTGAGACAAATGTCACACACATTTCATCCAGACCGACAAAATTCTGTGGCTGTTTCTAACGTGACACTTCACAAAGGTTTAATGCAATTCCTGAAGTACCAGAAGTAGAACTGAGAGTGTTAACAAAGCTACAAACCTGGAATTGGTGCATTTCCCTAACACATCGCCCCAGGCAATTTTTTTTCCTCCCTCCTTAAAATGCAAGGTAGTACAAAGTCACTGAAAACCTGAAGCTTTTAGTTGAGACTTACAAAACAGAAAATTTAAAAAGCCAAAAGACAAATAGTGAAAAAAAACCCCTCTGCATTAAAAAAAAAAAAATTAAAAAAGGAACCACCTCTTGGAAAAAGTAACTTGCCGAACACTAGAGAGCATCCCTGCCCTCGAGTTCTTTCAGTGACTACTCAGGAGAAAAAATACCCAATGTATTTGGACACCTATTCTCCCCCTCTGTGAGTCATAATGGTGGGACTTGATTATCAAAGGGTTTTTAACTTCACCACTAAACCGGCTACACAAGGGATGAATCATTATCCCTTTGAGCATTAAAAACATCGACCTGGAGAAGATATTTATCTGTGGATTAATGAAACAACGTGTGCCAGCACTGAGCAGCAGCACGTAGGAGCCGGCAGGGAAGTAGTTAATGTTACCGAGCTGCCGGAGGCAATTGACGAGGCAGAAAGGAACTGACTAAATCGCAGCATGACTTGGAGCTGACGTCAATGTGTATCTTGTTTGGAGTTTAACTTTTCCAGTTCCCTACTGCAACACGATTCCAGGAAATCTAATGACGTCAGCCTTTTGAACTCAATTAGCTGAGGAACAGACCATTTTAACAGTGGAGGAGAAAACAAGCAGGCGTTACAATACTTCAATTATTGCCCTCAAATTTGTTTCCATTCAGTGTTTTTCTTAATAATGGAAGCACAGGGTTGATTTACACTGCTGAAACAGTTTCTGTACAGCTAAGCTTAAGCCCATTACTATCAAATTTGTAGCGTCTATTGCTCAATAAAAAAGGCAGTTGTCATTTTTACAAAAGAAAAGCAATTGTAAACGCAGTAACATATATGACTATCATCACAATAAAGGAAAATGCAAAAGTAGACTGGTGGATTGTTTTCAGCAAAATCCTGCATCAAAAAATAAAGAACAGTTACTGAATCAATCTCTGAAAGAACTCATGCACTAGCAGTGATTTTTTGTTTTTTCCCTCAAACAGAACTGTTAAAATAGCCCTGGAATCCTACACTAAGTAGACAGAATTAGAAGTTATTTGTATGACTTTAGAGAGATGAAAGAATTACAGTAATAAGTTCAAAAGAAAATGTCACGAATATTAAGCAAACACTGCACAGACATAAAAACATACCATGTCAAAGGCTAACAAAATTGTTACCTGTTTCATCTCCTGTTACAGCCATGCTAACTTCTGCACACAGGATTCTGCTGCTCCTCTACCAGAGCTCAGCATGAACTGTTCCAAACTACCAAGCATGTGCAGGATTACAAGCAAGAGCACTGACATCACAATGACCTCACTTGCTTACCACTGTCATTAACATGCTCCATCACTGGAACAGCTCACTGAAACTGAAGCCTGAAGAATTCCTTTTCCAGTAAACCTGCTATTTTTTTTTCCTCTTCCATATTGCTATAATCCTAGCTTTGTTCTTTTTCCCTGAATTATTCATAAAGCTACAAAAAGCACTCACCACAAAGCAGGCTATTAAGAAAGACCTGAAAATTCACAGCACTGGCTGACAGAAATTAAAACATGGTTCTAGTATTCATGAATGAATCCAAATGATAAAGTCATGATTGGATAGAAAATAGGAAATTTAAAACAGACATGCAGTTGTTTTTATTGGCACAGTTCCACTAAAAGGCAGAGAACTCTGTTGGACAGACATGCAAGACAGGAAAGCTTAATAAGCTGTCACAAATAGGTAAATGAAAGGCTGGAGTTCCTTGCTTTGCAGGAAAACCCACAACTCACTCATTTAATTTCAGTTAAAAGCTTCAGAAATTTTTAAGGAACACTCCAAGAAAGTAAGTCAACCTAATGCCAGTGATTTCAGATGCTCTAACAAGCAGAACAGTAACTCTGGGTAAAGGCTACCTCTTCCCCCTTCTCTCCTTTTTCAAAATATGCCCAAGAGATCTGGTTCACTTAGTTTTAAAATATAAATTAAAACAAACAAACAAACAAACAAACAAAACCAACTCGGCTCCAAGAGAGTTACTCCTTATTTACATCAATGCAAATGAAATTAGTTTCAGACCAAGAGTCAAAGCACTGGTTTGTATGTAGGGCACAGCAAACTTCTAACAAACAAATTCAGACTGGTAATTTATCAACTGTGAAACTGTGCTAGATGGCAGCAGTGAAAGCATCGATGTTTGCATTGATGTTCTCTGTTTTACACTCTGTGTTTACAGGAGTGTTTTGTGATTACAGGACCACTTCAGGATCATATGTACAGAAGATCAGAACTAAAGCACAAGAAATTCAAGCCACAGATTGGAAGTATCACTAACAATATAATGAGAACACAGACAGATCCCAATAGAATGATTTTTTCTATAACTTTTCTATACTCATTTTCCCTAATAGTCAAACACTTCCTTCTTCAGCTTGCAAAAAAATCCTTAACCCTTAATGTATTAGGAAACTGCCCACACACTAGAACTGCCTCTTATTTTGTCTACAAATGTAAATTTGCAGCAAATACAATGTCACTCAGTTGGATCAATATATTTGACACTTCTATCCCTAGCATTTTTCCACACCACAGGTTACCAGAAAATACCAAGCACAAGGCTTATGTCATCTTATCCATTATTACATGAGATACATTAACAAATACTTTAGAAAAAAAATACCAATACATATGCTATCTGAAAGATTCTGAAACAGATTCTGAAACAGATCTTTTCTGCTTCCAGGTATTTGTTATATTATTTTCTTCTTCTATGATTAAGAAAAAAATTATATGCTACCTACCCCAAAATCATTATAAAAATACATATGTAAGTGGTAAGATTACTAAACAGAATAATTTTTCTATTATAATCTATGCTATCACAATATTAGGTGAAAAGTCAACTACAAAGTGTACATAAATGACAAATGTTCATAATCTGTATTCCAACAGACTTTCTAGCATAGACAAGATAACCTGTAGTAAGGACATTCAGACACTTGTCTATTCAACTTATTCTATTGTCTCACTCCATCATGATTAATTCAGGTTTGCTGCCTACATACAATTTTATTACTATAAACATCTTCAAGTGCTTTCCCTCTTTTTTGCTATAGAGGGTTTTTTCCCCTGAAGATTTTCTCATATCAATAGCATGTAGAATAAGTTGAAACCTTTTATGTTCTCATTGTCTCCAAGTTCATGCTCACTTACCGTTTGCTTTGTACTTTTCCCTGTATATGTTATGCTGCATTTTTCTTCTGTGTTAACAGCTATGAGGCTTAGTAAAGCACAGAGGAATAGAGAATTCCAGGAAAAACTTCTCTGAGCATGGACAGAGAACAAATGAATTTAGTTTAAAGCATCTGGATGCTTCTGGAAACATGATACAGAAGGTATTCAGTAACTGTCTCTGAATCCATTTTGAAAGTTTCCATCACAGGGAAAACACTTAATGGGCAATTCCATCTTGTGGAGCCCACTGCTGAGACTGAGTAGCTCTGTCAGAGAACAGCTCTGTAATGGAGAGTCTGTAAAGGAAAATCAGTCAAATGGAATTCCCAAGGACTGAAATGCTGCCAAATAAAATCCTCACATGCTGTACTTTTTCACAGACTTGGGAAGTTTTAGGAAGCAGCTGAGGAGTTATTCTTTCTGGCCCTGATGCCAAAGCCCTGAAGAATCAAAGCAATACCTATAAAAATACTACAGTCAACCTGGAGAGATGGAGGTGCCCTCTGATTTAAGGGATGTGTAGGCACACACATAGAAAAGGTATTAGACTCATAGTCAGAAAAACATGCAGTACTAGAGTGGGAAATTGGTTTGAGGGACAGCCAAATTTGGGTCTTAAGGCTTTGTTAAGAATGTATTCATAATAACATTTAGGGAAATTGTAACAATACTCTCTGAACAATAAAAACTAACATTTGGCTACGGTGTTTTCATCTTATAGTCTTAAAGCACTTGAAATGCTTCTGGAAAGTCTTGGGATGACAATGTATTTCAGCATTTATTTGATGACCCTCACCCACTCCATGAATAAATATCTGAATCCTTCCAAGTAGCTCTTCTCATGGCTTATTTCAGATAGCTGTTTTGGCTTAAGAAATTATTCATACAGCCTTCCCTCCCTACTTCTCTGTGTCAGTAAGTTGTTTTTTTTTTTTTTAATTCTTTATATTCTCCATAGCTATTAATTTAGTGTCTCTATAGATAAATTTCTCTCCCATTTTCAAAGGTTTTCATCACATCATGTGTGCACTTTATAGAACCTTCAAAGTGTTCCTCTGTGGGAAAACTAGCTTCAGTAAAGGATCTGCTTTCTGGTAACTGCAAGAACCATAAGTTGCAAGGAAATACTGCCCTAAACATACTGCACAATCTTCAGAATCTGTTTTATTAACATTAACTGCTGAAAAAACCTAATTAGTTTCATATATTAAATGATGCACACCTTCAGCATCTCTCTTCAATCTGTAAGAGTACCTTTAGTCCAATTAAACATGTCTGAAAATCTGGGCAAGAGAATCCAAAGGAGAAAGTGATGTTATACAGCTATTTCATTCTTTTTAACCAAGCATAGTAGTTGCCTCACTAAGCAGAGAACCTGAATTCTTTCCTAAGACTCCTTCATCTTACCATGAGTATTTTACTTAATAGAGCAATAATGTCAACACAAAATAAGAAACCTTTTAAGAAAAATTGTTTAATATGAAAAACAAAAAATGGAGTAGACTAATAAAATATACCTTGAACAACGACTTGGCTTCCAGGAACAAAAAATTGTTGTGTGCCATCAGATGACTGTGCTGCATATTGTACAATGGTAGCACCTGGCTGAGGAGCTCCTGAATTTGTCACAGTCTGAATTGTACCACCTTGAGATATGGTAACTAAACAGAAAAACAAAACAAAACAAGGTAAGTTAGGCAATAGAAAGACATAACATATGATAAAAAACATGAAATAAAAATTGTCTTATAGGAGTCCTGGTCCTCTCCTTGCTTAAGGATCAATTGTACAATAAAACTTAGGCAATATCAATACTGATTTCCACAAATATAAAGCCTGTTGTATAGTATATGCCATACATATAAGATAAAAAGCAGTGTTCAACACATTTTATCTCTATGTTTCCAGAAATATTAACTCTACTAAAATAGTTTAAATATGGGGGGGGGGGGGGAACAGTAGCTCCTAGCCATACAAAAGTGTTGTTTTAAATAGTAACATAGAAGTTAATTAAAAAAAAAAATCTTAAAAAAAGCTGCTTATCGACTCTCAGAAAACAAAAACCAGGACACCAAGACAAAGGAAGAGAAACAATCCTTTCCTAAGTCTAAGAAAAGGTTTAGCACATTTAACCAGGTAGTACACAGTTATACAGAGCCCAATACTCATGTAAAAAGAGAAACAGAACAAAGTGGGGTTCTTTCCTCAATGTAATAGCAATATTAAAAAAAAAAATATACTTTACCCATTAAAAAACATACTGCATTTTGTCATTATCAAGTATTTATAAAAATGCAATTCTCTAGAGATATTAATTGTATATTCCTTTTGAAATTAGTATTGCCTTTGTTAAACACAGAAATATCATTGAATCATAGAATGGCTTGAGTTGGAAGGGATCTCCAAGATCACCCAGCTTTAGCTCCCCTGCCATCTTCCACTAGATCATGCTGATCAGAGCTCCCCATCCAGCCTGGCCTTGAACACTCCCTGGGATGGGGCAGAAGTGTTCTTCCCCACTTCTTCTGGGCAACCTGTTCCAGTGTCTTGCCACCCACAAAGTGAAGATTTCATCCTAGTACCTAAATTAGGTCTATCCTCCCTGTTTAAGCCATTGCCCCTCACCCTATCACCACACTCCCTCCTGAAGAGTCCCTCCCTGTCTTTTCTGTAGGCCTCCTTTAAGAACTGGAAGGCTACGGCAAGGTCTCCCTAGAGCCTTCTTTTCTCAAGGCTAATCAATCCCAAACCTGCCAGCCTGTCTTTATAGGGAAGGCCTCCAGCCCCTGTTAATCTCCATGGCCCTCCTCTGGATCTGTTCAAGCAAGTCCATGTCTGTCTTGTGCTGGAAACTCAGAGCTGGATGCAGCACTCTACATGGGGTCTGACCAGAGAAGAGGGGCAGAATCGTGTCCCTCGATCTGCTGCCCACACTGCTTTGGATGCAGCCTAAGACCTGGCTGTCTTGCAAGCACACATTGCCAGCTCATACTCAGTGTTTCAGCCACCAGCACATCCAAGTCCTCTCAATCAATTGCCCAGCCTGTATCCACAATTAGGATTGTCACAACCTATACACAAGACCCTGCACTTGGCATTATCATGAACTTTCCTCTCTACTCTGTCACAGTCCCTTTGGATGGAATCCCTTCTCTCTATTGAGCTTTGAGTACCAACTGCACCATTTAGCCTGGTGTCACCTGGAAACTTTCTGAAGCTGCATTCAATCCCACCTTCCACATCTCCAGCCAAAGATACCAAATAATACTGATCCCAAACCAGATCTCTGCAGTACACCAGTCATCACTGGCCTCCACCTGAACATCAAGTATTGACTATAAGTCTTTGAGCCACTTCCTTATCTACCAAGTAATTCACCAGCCAAATCCACATCTCCTACAATAATAAGAACAGTCCCGAAACTTAGCTGAGAACCCAATCTCCAAGGAGTAAAAACTCCTTTCTCCCCAAAAGATATTTAAACTGTGAACATTGTATTTAAAGTGATCTGAGATGTTACAAAAGTTAGATATTAAAAAAATTTCAGGCTTGCCAAGTCCTCTGAATTCATTGTGAGATTACAGTATTTGATGACATTGTTGAAGGTTCAGCTCTGCTTATCTCAATACAGGATCTGTTAGATACTTATGTGAATTGTAGAGATTGCTACAATTTCAAATGTTGTGTTTTGACAATAGTAGGTTATTTCAAAAGCTCAACTTCAGATATAACCACTTGAAAGAGACTGAGATTGCCAAATCCCAACAGCTGAATTAGCTTCTTTTGGGGAAAACATGGAATTCTTCTCATGCTGAATTAAGTTCAGAGCCTTATCTGCAATACTGAAACAGGATTCAGCATGGACCTCCAGTCCTGCCCTTGGAATGAGGAGTATGTAAAATAGGGATTAGTTGGGTGCTGCACACAGCCTCTGTAAGGCATTGAGGAGAAGGGGAAGAGTGTGGCAGGGTGTAGAGTGCAAGATGTTTCAGTCTGGCCTCCAAAGCAGAAAGTGCCCCATTTTAGGGCAGGACAAAATAGAGAGAGAAGCAAGAAAAGTAAAGCATTGTATCCTCAACTCTTCACAAAGTCCAGGACAAGAGCAACAAGATTTGTCAATTCTACCTCCCATAGAAGTTAGAAAGAGCCAAATTCTGCCTCTCAGAGTTAGCATCAGGAATGGTACATCTATACCATCACAGAACCATACCATATAAACCCCAGTCAGTTTGGCTTCCTAAGCAGTAAAAAAGCATAAGCACAGATTGATACAAAACTCTTGGCTTCACAGTGAATCTGAGTAAATAACTGTCACAGCTGTCCTGCAATTATTCATTCAGATCCCAATCTAGTACTTTATAAACAAAAGTGAATTAACTCCAGTAACTGCCTTCATGGACTGGTAACTGCCATATTCCCAGAACAACACACTGCCTGCCCTCCCATTCACTGTCCTGATCTTAGCCACTGCACACACTTTGTTGTGCTGGAGCTCCACTGAAAACTGGGCCTTTTATGATGAGTACAGGACTTTCCTGGACAGCTGAATGTCATGCAGACAGATGGGTGCAAGTGGCATCTTCTCTTCCAGCTAGGAGTGAGGACAGTACTAATACCACCCTCTGAATATGATCATCAGCTCTAATCCAGAAAAAAAACGTAGATGTTTTCCCTTCCAAAACTGGAAATGGACCTAAACTTAGTCTTTCCCAAAAGATTTCTTAATTCTCCAATTGTTAAAATCTATTCTAGGACAGCAAGAAACTCAAACAGATAGAAAAAGATCTAATAATTTTCATCCCCTCTGCATTTTTTCATGCAGATCATAATGACATGCACAAGGAGGCAGGGGGATGGGGAGGCTCATTCACACACTCCAACTGGATGAACAACTCTTGCACATTAGACCACTACTGCAGGTGAACCATTTCTTTCAGCATTAAATAACCAACATGACAGAACTACAGCCAACAGAGAAGGTGTGTAGTCAGATGAGAACACAAGGTTCCTACATAAGACAGCACCTTGTGCAAAACTACTCATTTCCCTGACAGAAAGATCACACATATGTTGATGGAGGTAGCTGGCAAAGACATTTTATCTGGTCATGTCAGTCTGTCTGCTTCCATAAGCCAAAGCCAAGAAGCTCCAAGGAAAAAGATATTTGGAAACCATGGTAACATACCATTTTGGCTGGTGAAAAGTAAGTAGAGAACAGCCATGAATGCTGCTAATAGACAAAAATCCATTTGTTTCCCAGAAAAATTTACTTATCAAGTTCTTCCAAAAAGAATCATCCCAGACATCCAGACATAAACACACACTCAAAATGATCTTTTCAACTAAACTGCCCTTCCTTTGCAGGAACAGAAAGAAGAGTAGAGAAAAAAATGATACAGCAAATGTAGTAACATAACACCTCCTTTAAACCAAGGCACACTACAGATAGCCCCAGTGACACCACAAGGCCAGTTCTTCATTGCCTCGGACACTGCACAAGCTTTATGCATCAACTACTGGGTACCTGCACAGGAGAACCTGTGCAACCCATGCTGGCCAGGGAGAGAGGAATCCTCAGGCACAGCACACACAGGCAGAAGCACAGAGTTATTGACAGCAGACATAAAGATGAAGGAGATACATGGAGTCACCCTCTGCATCTTATCAGTCTAAAATCAACTCTATCAACTGGAAAAAGCAACTAAAATCAACTGGAGTTGCTACATTCCCACCCAGTGCTCCTGGTTTCAGCTGAGCAGTTCCTGAGGATCACAGGCAACCAACAAGATGGCTCAGAAATGCTTCAGATCTGTGCTTCATACATGTAAAGACTAGGGATCAACAGTCAAGCTCTCTTCAGCAAGTTTCAAATTAAGACCCCCTTTATTACAAGGAAATGACCATCCTTGCTACCACCTGGCCTAACTAGAATTAAAATACATAGACTTTGCTGAGACAAAAGATATTTTAACTTACAAAAATGAACTTTAAAAAAAAAAAATCAAACTAATGAACTAATAAATTCAGCAAGAAAATCTATTTCCAAGAAGAAAAACTCTCAAAACTAAGTTTTTGAGCCAAAACCAAGAGAGTCCATGAAGTCTGACATTGCATTTTGAAGCAATGCCCCATTATGATGAGAACCTTAATTATACAGCACATGTTTTAGGCTAAAACTATAACTTACTCAAAGAAAAAGCAGGAAAGAACAGAAATTTCCCAAACTTGGCTTATAGCCAAGTTTAAACTACGACACATGAGATTTAATTAAATTTTTGTAGATTCTGTTCTCACATTATCAGTGATGCTCTCTGTTTCTTACTTTTCGGAAATAAATGTCTGATTGAACAAGAAAGCAAAACCTTTGAATTTTGTCATTCACTTAAACACTTCCCTATCACTATTGTTTATGGGTGTGTTCAAATGAAAATATATGCCCCTAAGAATCAACTCCTGCAAGACATTGCAGTCAAAGTACAACTCTGGCTTTCCAGATAAACCTAAGCTCTAAAATTTCTTAGAAATCCTATAGGTTTACAGGCTCACTAGGTAATACACAGACATTGTAACACTTTTTTTAAGCCTTTGAATAGTAAATACATGTCTTCTTAATTAAACCTAAGCAAAATCAAAAATACAATTCAAAATTTGAAGCAAAATATTTAACTTTTCTTAGAACACAAGAACACATGCTAGATTCTGTACTGGATAGTTGTAATTTAGGAGGACCATATTCTTTTCCACAGAAAAGAACACTTCAGATGCTGGATATCACACAGCAAACATTTATTCATGTCTATAGCTTACAGAACGGGTAAGAAAAGCAGCCTAGGGGCACAATTACTTTCTATGCCAAAAGGATAGATACTACAAACAAATTCTATCTTCTCACCATTAATAATTAGTTTAGTTACATAAATTAAAAATAACTGAAGAATTCTAAAGGTGAGTAGAACACAACTAGAGCCATTCTATCCTCTTTTATATGCCACTGCAGCATTTTAATAGACTTCCTCTGTTTTCTCATCTCAGGAAAAAAACTCCACAACAGTTCTTACGCAATCTTCCTGTCATTATATCAAAGGAAAAACACCTGTGCTTTAGTGTGTCTGCTTATGAAAAGAAATGAAAAACCCCTACAAACTGTAGAAGTGAAGCTTCATAAAATACATAATTTTAAAAAGAGATGTTATTATAAAGTTTTCCAAGCTGATAACTGATTATCTGATTATGTCCAAAGAAGCCACAGGGTCTAAGTTATGCAACACTTCCACTATAAATACAGGAATAAAAATATCCAAAAGCAAATCTATGGAATAGATCTGTGAATATAACTTTTAACTTGCATTTGGATGATGTATCAAATGTTGGAAACCATTATTTAGGTTAATTCTGTGGTGAAAATGTAGATACTTAAAACTGGTGACAAAAAGACAGTTCTTTTAAGAAAGAAAATTTGAACTTAGAAGTAATTTCATACTCCGACCTTACATTTCAAAAAACTATACTTGCCATTTCATATAATGAATAGTACTAATACATAGCAAATCACAAGAATTTGAAACTGCAATTATTTGTATCATTAAACATTCACATAAAAGCGTCAACATTTTTCATTTCAGCTGAGCCTCATCCCCCACATTTTAATGCATAGAAGCTCTAGAAGGACTAAATCTAGCAGGCAACAAATACTACAAGAAAGAGACTAAAAGTCTATAACCCCCATGTTAGAAAAAATTAATAATGACTTAAAATACAGAAACCCTTACTCTTCTTCATCAAAATCAAACATCCCTGTTGCATTATGCAACTCCTACAAACAAAGCTGTGCTATGTATGTTCTGCATCATCACATAGTACATTTGCAACATACGGTATTGCCCTGTGTTAGTATGATACAGGCTGGTTGGCATGGCCATTGCAGAAATACCAGAGGGCGTTCCTTCATCTTCTGACTTCTCTTCTTCTTCAATCTTCGCTATTGCAGGAGCATCTGATGAGAGCTCATTCAAAATTTTTCTAAAAAAAGAACGTAAGTAATTTTATGTACTTGGTAATTCATACTCATAAGAAAATCAAGTAACTGACTTTTATCAGACAGTTTTGCTGTAATAAATAAGCTGCCTTTAAACCAGCAAAACCAAAATTAAAGGTCCTTACCGGTATGAAGGCCTTCTTGAAAGTATTTCCCTACGTTTTTGAGAATCAATTATCACTTCTGATTGTGCAGCTTCATCTGCAATCGATGCTACCTGTAATAGCAAAGTTCCTGAAATTCATAACTTAATTTTTAAAAAGTAGCAGCAGAGTAAAATATTTTTAAAATTCCTTCCACATTCATATATGGGAAGTTTGTTGACTTATTTATCACTAATCGTGTGATTTTGGACTACTTTTTCCAACACAAATCACAAATTCTGAGGTTACCCAGACATAGCCACTCAGATAACAGCTTCCATTTGAAAAATGAAAAAGTCAATGTAATCCAGGTTACTTTTTTGTGAATGACACTTAGAAAAAGTACTGGAAACAGGTTTCTTTAAATAGAAAAATATTATACAATTTAACTAGCTCTTAAAGTGAGGTCAAACATCTAAAATGCGTTAATGTGCCATAAATAATAGTATACAATATAAAAGTTTCTTCACACCACACCAAAGCTATTTAAAAAATAACTTTATTTACATATACACGTTTATTAGATTTACTAATACATTCATAAATACAAAGACATTGCTTAGCAATGTTGTATGAATTTTGGAAATGCCTGAGAAGTCAATTTTCTCAGACCTTTAGTATCTTCATATATTCATCGTCTCTTGAAATTACCCCAGACAACATTAAGGCCTAGGGCTGAATCACATTCTCAACCAGCACTTATCTTACTACACAAAACTCAAAGTCATTATTGAACAAGGAAAACACATTATTTTCTTGGATTCTTTTAACTATTCTATTATAGAACTATTGCTGTATTTAGATTTCCAAATTGAAACAGTGTGAAAATCTTTTTACATGAAGACAGACCAGACTGCAGTTTCAGATTAAGCACTTTGTTAAACTAACACTGAACAAACATGATGTAAGAGACCAGAAGACTTCAAGTGCTTGAACCAGCTGCAGTGGAAGCTCAGGGAATACAAGGAAGAATTCTAGAATTAATGCATCTGCCAGTCCTCTAGTGTTTGGTACTAGAAATAAAATCTGACTGACCTCAATAGAAAATGACTGTCTGGAAGGTCCTGAAAATTTATAGGCCTCGGTCACCTCAACACAAACCTGCAGAACTGCACCTTGAAGGAACTGTGGGTTATTGCAGAACAAAATTGTCCCTTCACTTGTTAATTTTATCACATTGCACTTCTGCATAAAAATACTTAATGCAGCCTCATTTTGCTGGGTAATATGCAACAAATAGCATTAGAACTTTATGTCTGCCACCTAGATAGTGAGAGTTACTTCTGCATGTGTATAGATGTATAGTTCCAAACCAGACATCAGAGCTGACTGCAGAGATACAGGTGCTTCAAGAAGTTTGTATTCCTCCTTTCGCAGAAGAGACAAATGCTAAGCAGCAGAGAGAGATCCTGAAAGACATTTCCCTCCCAATGTCTTCAACAATCTCCTTATGGATCGACCTTCAAGCCTCTGGCATAATCCTTCTAAATAAACTAAGGTAGTATTGCACAGCCAAGAAAGAGCCTGGGCATCCTAACTCAAAACAGATTTTTCATTCTGCTTGGATCTGAGGATGGATCTGGCCAAGCTTGGGCCTATAAAAGATGGTGGTAACGCCTCTGTGTTAACATATTTAGGAAGGAATCAAAACAAAGCTTGATTTGTTTCAAACAAATCAAAACACAGTTTCAATTCTAGCCAGAAAAGAGGAGGAGGTGAGAACATGTGAGGGAAACAACATGGAGACACCAAGGCTAGTGGAGAAGGAGGAGGAGAAGATGCTCCAAACGCTGGAGTCAAGATTGCCCTGCAGGCTGTGGTGATGACCATGGGGAAGCAGCTGTGCCCTTGCAGTCTGTGGGGATCCATGGATCATGCTGAGATCCATCTGCAGCCCGTGGGGATCCACAGCGGACACAGAGATCCATCCCCAGCCCATGGTGGAGGTGCCCATGCCAGAGGGGGCTGTGATCCAGTGGGAGACCCATGGAGAGACAGGGCTTGCTCCCAAGTTGGAACAGCCTGCCCTTGGAGGACTGCACCCCTTGGAAGAGTGAGCAGTTTTGGGAGGACTGCTGCTCAAGACATTGGAGCCACACTGGAGTAGTTAATGGAGAACTGTCTCCCATGGGAGGGACCCCACAGTCTCACTGGGGAACCACTTCTCTCCCTGTGCAGCAGAGGAAAATCCTGGGTGACAAACTGACCAAAACCCCCACACTTTGTCTCCCTGCACTGCCAGTGGGAAGGAGGGGCTGGGGGAAAAGAATTGTTTTTAAGGGCTTATTTTACTTCTCATTATCCTGCTCTGATTTAGTATTAAATTCATTTTACATCTTTAAGTTGAGCCTGTTTTGCCCTGGGAGCGTTTTCTCCCGGTCCTCATCTCAACTCATGAACCCTTGGTTAAATTTTCTCTCCTCTGCCCAGCTGCAGCAGAGGAGGGGTGAGTGAACAGCTTCCGTGGGTGCCTGGCATTTGGCCAGTGTCAAACCACCACAATGTGGAAGAGAACATTTTCTGCAAGAAATTGCAAAAGCTTTAATTTTCATCACAACAAAGAGAGAAATGAACACTTCAGATCACTCTAACGGCAAACAACCATGTCCATAATGTTAACAAACAAACCGTTGTCATTTTTTTACTGGACATCATTCAGATTTCAAATTTACCTATTTCAACTTAATCTGCATTTGAAGAAATTTAACTTCAAATTCATGTTAAGTCTTTCCAAGGCCTGATACACTATAGGGGAGAGCAAGCAGTAAATCAAATAACAATTTAAATCTTCCTACAAATAAAACAACATTTAACAAAACAATAAGGAATGCTGTAAACGTTTTTTTTAATCTAAAAAGCAACAGCATTATGAGAAAAGCTTTCGAGCACTTTCCGTTTGAAAATGGCAGATGTTTCAGGGAGAGGTCATGCAAGCTTCAACATCAACCTTCAGCATACTTATTTCTTTTTTAAACTGATACAATTTCCCAAGTTCTCCACCATCTGGCAGAGAGAAGATAGCAAGTTAAAGCCAAATGATCTGGAGGAAATACCAGGTGGCAGGGTAGTGTACTGAAAAGGATCACAGAAGGGCTGAACACCCTCTGTAATGGAGTCTTCTACAGCAAGCCCTTTCTTATCCAGATGAAACCAAAGCAAAATCCTGGAACTAACTAGCTGGTATTGGGACAAAATTTTCCTTTTTCTACTCCTTTGGGAAAGGGTGGACAGCCAGAGCTCACTCAATACAACAAATAGTTGACTTCCACTCCCCTAAGATGACACAGCAGCAGCTGGCAAGAGACTCCTGAGATACTTCTCCTTCTGAGCTTTGAAAAAAATCCTCTTTGTATCTATGTCCTAACTACACTGACTAAAGGAAAAGCAGTGACAGAAACTGGGAATTAGTAATGTGCTTATTGAATGAAGGTTACTCAGGAAAATTACAGTTAGAAAGAATTCCAATAAAAAATGTATTCGAATACTCTGTTCTGACTTCAAGTTTGATCAAGTATTGACATCTACTGCACCTCTTTCAATAGTGATGTAGGATTTCAAAACCTTGAGGTGCCATCATCTACACCTACTGCTCAACAATAAAATATTCTTTATCTGATCACAGTTTTATTCTTTTTCTCAAATATAAATCATATATGTCTTTTTATTTAATACACTAGAAAGTTACTAAGAAGCCTCTAACATTAAAGATGGCTTCTCAAGACCAGCAATGCAAGGCTTTTCCTTATGTTGCAATAGCCACAGGTAAAATCCTTCCCTCATAACAGGGAAAAATCAATTGCATCTGCAAAAAGCAATCAGTTGACATTTACCAAACAGATTTTAATACAGCTAGAGCAGAGGCCTTCCTAGCTACAAGAAAAACACCAATGGGAGGCCTAGCAATTTTCAAAACATTCTCTCTTGCCTTTTCTACTTTTTAAAAACTCTGAAAAGTCTTACGCATTTTGCACTGATCCCTGTTTACCAGTTCCAGCAACTTTAAACGTGAACATTTGCCACATAAATGTTTGCTTTGAGGCTGCCCCTATTTTTGGTATCTACATATCCACATCAAGCAACACTGGATGCTCTAACAGGGTCTGATAGGGTCTAAAAACAAGGAACCACTTGATACAGTATGCTTACTTCTGCTATGTTCAGACCCTTTCCAATAATAATTTCCAATAATAAAATAGGAGATACTTGAAAATATCTGAGTTCATAGTCTCATTAGAAATATTATGTTCATAGAATTTAACAAAATGGACACACTGAAGTAAGGCCATGTTACGACAGAAATTTGCTATTGCGTAAGTTCAGACACAAGTTCCAAGACAGCTTCTTATAAGATAAACAGGAAGTATTAAGGAATTGCTACACAATGCTTGTAGAGTTGCTGCTGGTTGGATGTTTGCCACCCTTCCCCCTGCCTCTTCCTGTGCCATCTGAGTAAATCTTGCAGCATTGGTTGGAATGAAGAGAAACTGAAGATGGTTTGGGAAAAGAGTTATGAGATACCAAATATTCATGAAAATGTAACAATAAAAAAGCTAACCTGAACAGCTTGCATGTGTGGTGACTGAATGACTGAGGGCTGTGTGGCTTGAATGACACCCTGGACATGAACAGTTTGACCAGAAGGCAACTGCACTAGAGTTACAGCTGGAGATCCTCTTCCAGCACTGGAAGCAGCTACAGAAACCTGCAAAAATTATAATCATCATGTTTAAGTAAGATGCCTTAAGACTTCAGCAAATGCTTTTAGAAGTGATAACTAAAACAAACTGATTTTGTTGTCACATCTAAAATAGCTTAGCTGTATATAATTATCACACACAAAAATAAATTAGTTTTACTAGTTAAAGTTTGGCATGTACCATTCCAAATGGTCTGGAAAGCTTAAAACTGTACCCTAACAGTTTTAAGCCTAAACTGCAATTATTTGATTTTTTCCCTCCAGAGACTTCGTATTTTCTTTTCAACCAAAGAAAAAAAAACGACTAACAAACAAACAAACCAAAACCAACAACAACAACAACAACAACAAAACAAAAAAACCCCAACTCTCAGCTATCACACACCAAATCTGCTGTTGCTAGCATGAAGGTTAGGAAGAACCCCCAGAAGCACAACAAAACCTAAAAATGCAGATTCACTGGAGTGGAATGTCACTGACACAACAAAAAAGGCAGAATGTTCTTAGGAAAAAAAAAAACAACCTAGAACTGCTTTAGTTTTGCTCTGCTTATTATGTAAGAAGTTACGCTTTTTGGATGGATATCTCAAGAGACATAAGAATTTTTCAGATAGTGAAAAGTCACCCAGTTAAATAAAACCATACAAGGATTTGTAAATTGATTTAGTTTAACACACTCCTGTTACATATATAATTATATATATCAAGAAAAAGAGAGCTGGAGTATATCAGTGCTTCAAAGCAACAACAAAAAGAAAGAATAGCTGAATCTTTTCTAAGCCTAGCACAGCCACAGAACAGCTTTCCCCAGCCTGTGGCTCTCAACCCTCAGTGCTGAGGATGAAGGGGTTGAGAAACAGCTTAAGACCTGTGGGCTAAGAAATAGTTCCATATTTCTTCTGTTACTGTTAAATCTATTAACAGAAACAAATAGTGATGCAAAGGGAAAACACTACAATTCATCTCAATTTGTGTGAGGAAACATCTCTAAACTCAGAAAAGACAATGATAAACATAAAGCACATAATAAAAAGAAGTACTGTGTTTTGCAATTAAACTGCATTGAAAAGTCTTATTTCTATATTCTGTACATTCAACACAGACTCAAATATAAAACTGTTATTATTCCCTTCCTAGCTTTGTTCTCAGCTCCAAAGGCATCTGGCATGAGTAGTAAATGTAAAATGAGATAAGAGTAAGAAGAAAAACATGAAAAATGCTGAATATTTAAAAAAAAAAAGTTAAAGAAACTTTTGTAATTTTTATGTATTTTCACTGAAGTGTTTTTTTAAATCCAAATATAAATGCAGTTTTCATTCCTGATTCATACGATATTGCTTGCCTAGGAAATAATCCCATCTTGAAGCAAGTGAAAAATTTTAACTACTATTAAGATGCACTGCTATCAAAAAGTCCTAACGTTGGTTCAAATTACCTCGAAGAAACAACGTTTCTAGGAAACAAAGCCAGGATCTTGTCAACATTCACTATTCAATTGTTCAATGTTATAGGAAACTGAACCGCTTTTCACAAAACAGAACAATTGAGGGCATTTTTAACCCTGAAATGAGTTCCTTAAATGGCATGAAATGCTAACAGGGAAATTGGACATACAAACCTTCTTCCCAACCCATTCAACAAATGTTATGAGAAATTTATCAGAAATAGATATTTGAGATTAGGCTCTAGAAAGCCATAAAGATCTGAAGCCTATGATCTATTTTGTGGAAAAGCTTACACCCTAAACCCAAGCTTCAAGAAGTGGTCACAGAGCAGTCTAAATGTTTACAAAGCACGCTAACTTTTCAAAACATTATAAAGGCAGCTTCACCAAACCTTTCCACTTACTGCTCTCTTTGTGAGAATTGCAACTTCTACAATTCTCAACAATACTCAGTGGGTCAGAAAGAACTTTCGAATACAACAGCCACATAACAGTAAAAGGTGAACAGTTTAAAAGTTTCCTTTGGGTACACAATGGGTCAGTCACACATAATCAGGAAATAATCCAGTACTTGAGATTAAGAAACTACATTCATTTTAAAGCTCCTTATTCAGTATAACCCCACAGGAAAAAAAAAAAAAAAAAAAACAAAAAACCCCTCACTCAGCTAATACTCTTTTGGACAGTTTACAACATAACATAGCAGGAGAAATTGTTTTCTTCCATTAATTCAGATAAGAGATTAAATGAAGGGGGTAAATGCTAATGGAAGAGGAGATAGTAGTAGTATAAAATTTTCAAGGTTCATATTCTGCATCACTTTTATAGATATTGGAAATTATTATTAGAATATTCATTCCGATTTCCTTTTACAGTTTTTAAGCTGAACATTCCTGTATCAGCTGAAATACTAGAACGTTTTTGGGCTTTCATGCATAAATCCTGACTGAAACAGACTTGGCAAAGAAATTTCTTTCTGACATCAGTGATGAGCAGTGCTACCTTTAACATCATTACTTCAAGGACAGTTGTCTGGCACAGTAACTGAAAACAATCCACAGAAGCAACCCAGAAACACAGAGGCTGAGGGGAAGCTTAACACATTCTACAGGTTCTATGCTCCTAGGCATGCAACAGTCATGTCCAATAGCTTCAAAAAATATCAACCATGCAACCACAATAGCAGTACGGTCCCATATTTCAGGTATTTGGAAATGTAAGTGCTTCCTCTTCTACATGAGGAGAGAAAAGTAGCTAGCAAGAATGATCAGGTACAACCTTCCTACTGAGACACACTCTCTTGCAGAGAAAGAGGCTGCCCACCATTTATCTAACTTCAAGATACATGGTATAGCTGAACAGTTATCCTGGGGATCCTGTGAATGTCAGATATCCTTTCTCTGCTAAGTACTAGAGAGGTTACCTTCACATTCAACCCCTCATACCTCCAACACTGGCAAATGAAGAACACAGGACACAGGCCTATTTGATTTCTGCCCCTGCTGTAGACTCTAAATACTACAAGGACTCTAGAAGTGAAGTGAAAATTAATTCTGGAAAAGTCAAGGCAAATCCACACTGGATTCACCTAACAAACGAACAAAGGACCTGCCACACTTGGGCACCCAGTAGCCTCCATGAGGAAAAGCTGGAGACAGATGGTTTGATCAATTCCAAAGCTACTGCCAAAGCAGAAGCACCTACTTTTAAGAAAAATAAGGTTAGGCTGACTCCAGATATTTGGTGCCACCATACACTTCAAGGAAGTACAAAATGGTGACACAGCAGCACATTTATAATCCTCTAACACCAACTTTGCAAAATGGCCAGCATTTGCATTTGGCAGACCATTTTAGAGCCTTACTTAAAACATCCTAGCAAACTCCTATTGGTCTCAAACTCTAGGGAGCAAGATTTAACACTGTTTGATGTCAAGAGCCCACAAGGACAACCCCCTCTAAGTGCTAAACTTGAACAGCCCCAGCTTGCAATAGCTGTGCACTCCAGACTCTGAAAATCTCCCTATGCTCTCTGACAGCAGTTCTCATATTGTAAATTCTGACATATGTCTAATTCAGGGCCACCATCAAAAGGTCAACAGATGGTATCTCAGACAAGGTCAGCAGATAGCCCTACTGACAGACAACATGACAAGGTTAACAGAAAGTGAACCAAAGAGGAATCCATCAAGATGTAGGATTAAAGAAAATAGAAAACACAACTGAAAGGGTTTTTATCAAATCTGAGAAAGGTTAAACACTGTTACATTTTGTGTAACTGAGCACAGAGCAACATAGAGCACAGCACGGCTTCTGGAAATCCTGCAAAAGAAATATCTAATTTCTCTTTGAACACCATTGCAGATATAAGTCTTCCAAGATGCAAGTTTGACTATCATTAACACTATCAGAATATTCCAATACAAATTAACTTCCTTTTAAGTACAGCTCTATATACAGCAACAGATGACCTATGCATGTGAGACAACCCATGGAACTTATCTTAAAACAGGTTGAGAAATTTGCCATCTCGCACCTCTCCTCTTCCCTCAAAGACATTAAGCTTTTGTACAGGTGTTCTGCACATTTTCAACAGCTTCTAAAGACAGCCACTAATAATTTTACTTTCTTATCCATTTATTCTGATGGCTGGATCACAAAAACATTACCATGTCAATTCATCAACTTGCTAAAAGTGACAGATGCAAGAAATGCACCTATAAACTGATTCTATAGTAGGGCACTTGATTAAGAAAATAACCATTTAATGGACAAAAAGTGCATCCCGTCTTTGCTAGTTTCAAATTTACTAATTTTTGCTTTAGTAGAAAAAGTAATTTTACTTTTAGCACCAAAAAATTGCAGGAGAATATAGCCGTATCTATGACACAAGCTAAGAAAAAAATGCAAACACTATTTTTTCTTTACAAATAGTGTATAATAGGTCCTTCTTAGCATTGGAGGTTATCCCATCACACCATAGTGCTCCAGCCCACACATTCTTAATGTCTCCTCTCCCTCCCAACAGGGGAGACATTAAAAATACTTCAGCACAAAACAATCTCTGCCCTCTAGAAATTATCATCTTATGGAGTACCTGGTCCATCCTTTTAAAACTAAATAGCAGGTATTTCTTTAAAAATCCTACAGAAGAGGGGAAAATAAATCAGCTGCTCCCCCAAGAAGAAAAAAAAAAAAAAAGGTGCCCACCTCCTACGTAGTTGTATCCCTCAGCATTTTGCTAGTCACTCCCTGGCCAAAGTCATAATTCAATTAAATATCAAGCACATTAAAAACCATTACATTCCATCTGGACATAAAAACTCCACTTATTGGAATGGCAGTCACCTGCTGGTACAGATGCCCAGAGAGGTTCTAGAGACTCCATCCTTGGAGATATCCACAACCCTGTTCTGGTTGACCCTGCTTGCATAGGCAGGTCAGACTAGATAATTTTAAAAGGTTCCTCCCAAGCTTGACCCTTCTACAATTAATTATTTGAAAATACACAGAAAACCACAAATTAAAAGACAGTGTATTAAAATATTTTACTTCTGACTGACCAAAACTAAGGTTGAACAAATATTTCCCTAGGAAAAAAACACAAAAAAAGCCGCCGTCTCCCCAGTTCATTGGAGATATCTGAAAAGGAGTCCTCATTGACCAGGCATTTTAGTTCTCAGTAAGAATCAAGTCTTTCTTTTCTCCCACTTCTGCTTATTTACAAAATAATTAGGAGGAGAGATGACTGGAAGCTGGCAGAAGATATTTCAGACACTTGTAGTGGTTGTCTTCTCTTAACTGCACTCCTCTACAGGTCAAACTGGGAGAAGGGATCTGTGCTCCTCCAGAACAGTCAAAATACACAGGCACCGGAGCAGCAGCACAGCCACAAACTCCTCAGAAACACACAAATTTCTCACCTGGACCAACACAAAAGCAGTCACATGTCCCATACAGGGGCCTCCAGTGGGCTTTAGCCCCTCAAGAGCCAGGCCCAACTTTCCATGACAAAGCGCCTCACCTTCCAAGCCAGCCAGGTAGGAACACAGGCTAAGAAAATCCTACTCATCTTAATCCAAAGGAGCGTCTCAACAAGGCTTGTCGGCAACAAGTGTTCTGTCTGGGCAGTTTTTCCACAACAAATGCTGTGGCAGAGCAGTCTGAGGGCTCAGAGGGTGTGTGAGGGCTGCGGGCCCCAGGAGGCAGCGGCTGAGGAGACGGGCACAGGCCCGGAGCTCCCGGAGCCCTGGGAGCGGGACAACAGCAGCAAGCCCGCGTGTCCGGAGCCCAGGACACGGATGGCAGCTCCAGCTCCCTGCGGCGAGCAGCTCTCACAGCTCCGGGACAGCCGTCTGAGCCAGCTGACCAAGGAAAGGGACTCCAGATGCCGACTCCGGAGTCTTACCATCAGCCTTCAAACTGAGGTACATGTTTTGGTTTAATGTTAATCGAAGGAGATTCATCAATACTTCAAGGTTATTCATTTTAACTGGAAAGTATGAGACCCATACCCAGTACAGCTGAACCTTCACGCACAATACTCAAGCATTAAATGCAAACGAACATAAAAAGCGTTATATACTGCACAACATAGGAGTGCAAAAACTCTCCTACAGCATTAGTGCCACCTTTGTCTCTAGATCAACATTAAAAATCCCAAGTGACAGAATTCACAGCTGTCTTCTCCAGAGACTATGGCACAAGCCAATAGATTTTACACATCAATCATCCTATGAAGTTCAAACAGAAAATTTGAACAGAACTACTAAAGAAGAAATGAGGAGATGACATCAACAGAGCAAACCAAATAAAATTTTAAAGAAAAAAAAGAAAAAGCTGAACCAGCAATATTCCCCATGCTGCATGTATGAAAACCAACAAAAAAGGTTGATAAATATTTTGCAATCTATTTTGTGTCTGAAGATCTGACAAAAAAAAAGCAGCTGCTTTCAGTTTTAAAAATATATCTATAATGTAAATCAAGTATCTAACATACCAAATACATGGCATCAAATCTTAGCAAATAACTTCAAACTTCCAATGATGAAAAAATTCTGTAAGACATTTTTTAAAATCAGTTCTTTTATTTAACAAAGGGCTTTTGAAGATCTTTTTAAGGTCCATACACTTTTCTGAAGCTATAAATCTTAATACTGTCAGGAGCGCTATTTCTATCAAGTGCCAAATTTTTCAGTACGTATTTTAAATGCCTGAGAATTGTTACTATATAATGTTTTATCCAATAACTACCAAAGAATAATCCAGGTAGAGCAACCATAGAAAACATGTGAAGAATGCTTTTTAAAAGTCCAGACATTGTCATTAGATACACAGGGTTGAAAACACATTAAAAATGTACCTGCAATTAGATGAAATACATTCTGTACAAAAACTGGAACTATGAGAGAACCATGGTTATTTTTATTCATGTTTTCATTTTTGTTATACAACACACCTTCAAAATATACAAATGGTTTAGATATGTTTGATCTTGTAGCCACCTCAATTCTTTAAGACTGTATCCCATCTCTGTAACAATCACTCTGTGAAAGTGAAAGGAAAAAAACCCATCACTCTTGTCTCAAAGGGCTCCTGAAAACGTTACCTTTTAACAGACCTGATGTTGTATTAGTCCTTTGTTAACTACTGAAGGCATAGTTTCCAGTATACCTTTGCTATATTTTTCCTATTTAATACCAAGCCTTATCAAACATGAGAATAACATACAAACTGATAGTTTAAAAATCATAGCAGCTCTGAATATCTCTTCATTGATTCTTCTCATCTTTCCACATTTCAACTTACCTCAGATCCTGAGGAAATCTGACTTTGGCCTGGCTGATTCTGAAGGTGACCAGCACTTCTCTCTGTCACAGAATCCACTGCATTGTCATCCTGTTCAACCATTTCCATGGTCATCAGTCTAAAAGTAAGTATATACACATTTAAATAACTCAATACAGCGAGGTATATCAGGCAACTAGGGAGAGTAATTCCAAACTATTTTATATTTGGAGCAGACAGAAAATAAATGTTTCTGTCAAACTGAAGTCCTTTCTTCATTCTCCTGTATTAAAATATTCACTCATATAGCCAAGAGCTCTAAAACAAGTATTTTAAAAAGCTGCAGGGAGGGGCAGTTCTGGAGATGGCTCTCAGGGGGGAGGGACAAGCAGAGTCCCAGGGTCCCATGCAATGCTGCCTACAGAAGGTCCCTTCAGCCTCTTGGGCTGCCACAGCCTTCTTGAACCTTCCAAGATGGCTATTCCCTGCTGGCATCTATGCTTGAATTGTCTGTAACCTACTCATGGCTCGAGAGCCACAACAATTCTTCTCACTTTACAAATTTAAAAGTAGGGTAGATTTCATCGAAAAATAAGCAACTTGCTGACCCTCAATTCAAACTAAGAGTTTAAACTTCATAGAGAAAACTTCCAAATCTGCTATATAAAAATACAATTACCTGACAGCTCCTTTTCGATATTTCTTGGCACACTTAGTCATAACGGAAGGTGTGAGTTTTAAAACAAGAGCTTGGATCTCTTCGGCTCCCTTTCTCTCCTACCAAACCCTGCACTGAAGGTGCAACATTGAACAGGTGATGTCAAACATTGCCATGGCAACTGGTCAGTTTACAAACAGAGAAGAGACAGGATAGGGTCAGGCAGAGGCAGGCAGGATGCCCTGCAGGCACGTTCCCACCTACACCCTACTTACACAATCAATTAACAGCCGCAAAAGGAAGACATAATATTAGTTGAGATATTTAAGAGGCCGCAAATCTCTGTTCCCCAGGTTCAGTTTCTGTAACCGGGGATGCCAAGCCTGACTGAAGCCAAAGTTCAACTATTTCAACTGGCTGATAGTTACTCTGGTTTCTTCTCAGGACTTACACTGAGAGATGCAAGAGGCAGGCAAAGACTGCTACCCACCTGACTCTGAGGCTCTGGAATTTAGTCCCACATGTTATAAGTTAACTACATTAAATCAAATTAAATGTAAACCAAACTCCTTTTGTGGCATTATTTTACAGAACACTCCATAATCTTTGAAGAGAATAAATTTTATTCATTTTTTAAAAATCAAAATTTTGCCCAAAATAAAGGCATGGAAATATGAAAAGATACCCATTCAAATGATTCAGAGAAGCATACTTCTAGCTTATATGCCTCCAATGGTACTCTACTGACCAGACTTAACAGTAGTATAACTAATGGTAGCCAAGGTGGAAAACAATTCACCATTTCATTCACCATTCACCATTTTATGGGTTAACATGAATATTTCTGCTCAGAAAAGTTATGTACCCTATGTCAGTATCAATTCAGATTAGAATCATAGGGATCTATTTTACAGCTAAAATCTTTCTATATTTTTGTCTCACTAGTTACCACCAATTACCATTTTCTTTAGATACAATCTAATTAAATGTCTACTGAAATTCACCAAAGTCTAACAGCTCTGGGGAAAACGTTTTCACCAAGCTTTTCACCATAATTTTCTATAAGAAGACCTTACCTGATTAAACTATTCTGGTTTCATATATGCACAATAATAACTAGGAAAAAAAAAGTTCTTCCTTTGTAAACTAGGGCCACCCATAGAGTCTCAAATACGAAAGGTCCATGTGGTTCATGTAAGAATAAGCTTCAGAATAGCTCACACACCAAGGAAGATTAAATAATGCATAGGTACTGGCAACATATTCATTGTAATCTCTTCCTAAAGATGGGAATACAGTGAGAATTAATTTACTTTATGAAGGCCCTGAAGTATTTTTGTATCCAGAGCCATCTGTCACAGAAAACCTACTGTTGAAAAAAAAGCAAAAAGCAAAACCAAACAAAAAACCCCAAGTAGTTTTATTCCCACTGAATGCATATCACAGAAATTTTACCCATAAAGAGCCATTTTTTATCTGGGAAAAAAATGAGTTCTTACTTTTTAGCTTAATTGTTCACTGATTGCAGAACAGTATAAAAAGGTATTTCTTTCTACTATTTTATCAGGATTTTTCTCCCCAAGACTTTTCACCTGCAGTGCTGCACTAAGTTAGCAAAAAAGCTACAAAAAGAGCATCAGTGCAGCAGAAAATCTAACAAAGTTATTCCTCGTATTTTGCAAAATGCAGTACAGAGAGAGGTGTGGGTTTTTTTATTAATATTTAACCTAAATTAAATTAATTAAACAGCAAGAACTATACATGTCAGTGGAGTGCCAAACAATTTAGATTTATGATATACGTGGAAAACTCTAGAATTTATATAGATTTTCCAACTATAATTGTGTGTATTCTGACTCTTAATACAAATTATTGCTTAACTGAAAACTTTAGCAGGGTGGAGTAAAGTCTGAAAATCTGACTACCATAAAATGCAATCACTTCTCTGAAACATAGCAAAATACTTTTCCTAGGTAAGCTCAAACCTGCTTCTTTTTGACAGCCTCTGTGACCAAATAGTGACTTGACTTAAAACAACATCCAAATACAAAGATCCAATCACAGCCTAAAAAAAAACCAAAATAAAAATGATAAGATATACGAGTAATTTTTAAAGATACACGTGCTATCTTGACATAAAACTTCAGTGAGAAAGATGACTTAAGATAAACTGTAGCACATCAGTATCACAATTCAGACATGTTCCAGATTAGGAATCTGATAGGCACAACCATGGGATCCCTGAACTGGCAGGAGCAGGTCAGCTGCAGTCATTTGAGCCCACAGGGTCAGCACAGGTGCCTGTGCCAGCTCATGTGGGCTTGTACACAGCTCAAGACCAGGCATGCCAAGGAACTCCTGAATTTCAGACTAGGTTGTCACTGCCTTCAGAGCACTCTTATAACCTGAATTGTACAGGGTTTTTCTTTCCTGTACTACATTCATGTCAACATGTATACATCAAACTTTTCAATAAATACACAGAAAAAATACTGAGTACACAGACTGTAGCATGAAGCCATTACCAATCAAATCCAGAAAAGTTTCTACACATACCACACTCAATCTGCATTGCAAGCAAATTCTAACATATTCATTGCTTTTAAGTTTCCAAGAAAGAAAAACAGAATTCTCCTCCAAGCCCTTAAAATCCTTTGTAAAAGTCTATCAGTAGCAGTACACATCATACTTAAAAGTTTAAATTACCTTCCGTTTTTAAAGGAAAACTAAGCAAATAGTTTAAAGTAGGTGACCTTGGGTCCTGTTTAAAATAACAATGTTTTTCTTCATTGTAAGACTAACTATATACAAGTTTTAGTCTTATACTCAGTATTAATACATTTATTTCTTATACTTTTTATCTTAGTTGCTTACAAAGACTGAACAATAATTTTAAATATTAGTCTGGACTTTGAAATTAGTAAACAAGTTACACCTCTGCACTCACATAAAAAGGGGACAAAATGGTTTTCCGTAATATAAGCAAAGATACCTGCTTCTTCCTACAACACTGCAAAGAGATCTTCAGGATCTAGCAGGAAGTTTAACTGTTATCAAACTAGCAACATTTCAAAATATATAAGCACATGTTTACTGTAGTCACTGAGACTAATGGACAGCAAGTCAGTAGCAGATAAACACTGATTAAGATGATGCATACAGTGCACATCAAAAGCCTCTTCAACTGTGATCAGATGAACCATCCCTGACAGGAGAAATCCGACAGATGGAATCAGCTAGAGGAAAACAGAAAATTTTTCCTAGAAAATTTGAAGTAATTTACAGCTAAAGGTGTGAAATTTTAGGATTTTTTCCCAAAGGTAAGAGATGATGGACAGCATCCCTATGAAGACATGTTATTTTGCAATAAAGAGCACAAGAAATCCTTTCACTCCTTCCAATACTGCTGTTTGTTTTACATCACTGCATATTAATATAATATTTAATGACTATTGGTGAAATTATGCTGCAAAACCAGATTGCTACAGTATTTTGCATAACTGGAAAAGTGTGTGACTGTCTAAATAAATACCCAGAGACATTTTAAAAAACAACTTTTTATTTCAACCATCCTTTATACATCAGGGACTGCTTACAGAGTTTGATACAAAGGAAATCAATCGTAAGGGGCTAAAAACTACGTTTCAGCCCTTACTCCAAATTTCTTTGCAGGCTTTTACTCACAGGGGAGTTACTAGAAAGCAAGAATGCGAATTTACTAACAGCTGTTTTGCATTTTCTGATGACCCCGCAGTGAATGTGAGAACTCTCAGAATGCACTCGCTTCAGGAGAGCACTGTGTTTTCAATTATGAACTCTGTAATAACTGCTTTACCACCCCAAAGGTGAAGGACACCAGCTAATAAGGTGGTCACAGAATTCAGTCAAGTAAAATGTGCAAAAGCAGAACAGACCCGATTTTGAAAGTGTAAACTCAGTTTTCAGCATCACCAGAAGCTTCATCACTAAGCTTCTTGTGCCTCCTCCACTCTCGGTATTTCCCTGTTTTTTCCCAGAACATCTCAGCTAAACCCTAAAAGCCTAAAACCCCAACGTGCACAGGCAACGCTGCCTGGCCACTCGGCACCTGCCACCTCACCCATCCTGCCAAGGCAGCGCAGAGGACACACGGTCCCTGGGCAGGCCAGAGGATCAGCCAAGCATCGCTCCCCGCGGAACCACTTAACGCGGCTGCACTCAGCACCTAAAGCGATGTTATCACAGCACTGGGGGATGCACACAAAACGTTCAAAGTTTTAAGCAAGACTTCGGACTCACAAAGCCGACTGTGATCCCTGCCCACTTGTTCTGACCGAGCTCCAAAAGCCCTGCGGGCCAGAGTATAACCGGGAGTAACGGACTAAGGGGCAAACGTCACCGGGCACCCCCGTTCCCCTACGCCGGGGCAGCCCCGCGGAGACCCCAGGACGGGCCGTCCGGGCCGCTCTGCCCGCGCTCCGAGCCGCAACGCCGGGAGAGCCGAGCCGGTGCCCCAAGCAAGGGCTGGAGCCACCGCCTGCCGGAGCTCGGCGAGCGCCATGGCTCCCGGGCGGCACCGGAGCCCTTCCGGAATTCCCGGGATGCGGAGCCGCCTCGGGGCCGCCCCACAGCGCCGTGCGGGCTCTGCGCGGCCGTCCCTGAGTCCTGCGCGCTCCCGGCTGCCGACAAGGACGCGTCCCCGCCGCCTCTGCGCGCTCCCGCGGCGGGGCTGAGCCAAGCGCGGCACAGCGCCCCCCGCCTGCCCTGCCCGTGCCTGCCCTGCCCGCCGCGCCGCCCGCTGCCCCCCGCGCTGCCCCGCTCCCGGCCCGCGGGGGGTCGGGCTGCGCGCACACGTGTCCCCGCCCCCTCCCGCACTCACCCGCCGCCCTGTACGTGCTGCCCCCGTCACAGGGGGTGGGGGGGACCGAGCCGGGCGGAGCCGCACGTCGGCCTCACGTCAGCGCTGATGCAGCCGCGCCGCCGCGGGGGCGCCGAGGAAATGGCGTCTGTGGGGCCTCCCAGCGCCAGCGGCCGCGACGGGAGGCGGAGCCGCGCGCGGGCGGCGGTGCCGGGCGGCCGCGGGGCGCAACGGCCGCGGCGCTGACCAACCGCCGCCGCGGGGCCCCCGCCGGCGCCGCCCATTGGCCGGGGCGGGACGCGCCGCGGTGCGGGCGGGGCGGCCCCGCGCTGCCGGGGGCGGGGGCGGCCGGTAACAGCCGGGGCCGCCGCGGGCCCGCCGCGCTCTCTGGGCCGCGCTCCGGGCGTGCGATAGCGGGGCGGTGCCGGCTCGGCCGGGCCCCGCCGATAAGGGTGGTTGGCTGGGCTCGCTCCTGCGCAGGGTCCAGCCCCGGTCGTCCTCGCGCTGACAGAGGGAAGGGACGCGCACAAGCCCCTGTTGTCCCCTGGGCGGTGCCGGAACCCTGAGGGACACGGGAACCTGCCCGGCGGCCGGCCCGCCGAGGTGCTGCCCGCGGGTTGTTTTGTAATTCTGCTTAGTAAAAACACGTTCCTTGCGTCAGTCATTCATGGTATGACATAGTATTTTGCATTTTTTTTAGCTAAATAAATCAGAAATTGCCAAGAGGCAACAAACGGGAGCGACGTGCGTGTTTCCCCGCTCTTTGTCACGGCATTACGTTCAAATATCCTGAGTCATGTTGGGCTTGTGCTGTAGGTGTGAGCACGTCCTTTGCTGGGAGCACAGGGCTCGTCGGCTCAGGTTAATTATTTTAAAATGCAATAAATGCGTGAGCCATAAACTTTGTTACTAGGGATGTTTGAACATCCTATGTCCTAT